TGTCTTCAGCTACATCTACAAGGTGGATATTGTTCTCATTCTTACCCAGTTCATCTAGTCAGTGTAATTTTGCCTCTAGTTATTTCCTATTAACTAGCAAAATTAATTTGTATTCAGATGAGTTTTTAAGGAAAATGGCAAACACTAACGTCAGACCATGCAGATACGCAGGTAAATTCGGCATAAAATGCATTGCTTTCTAGTTTTTATTGTCAGAAAACAGAATAATGTTAGATTAGTTAATATAAAGTATTTGAAAATGGACAGTAAAGTTCAACAAGTAGAATAGAAATAAATTGTGTTCAAATAAACATATGTGTTATGCAGTAAGCTGTCAACAAATGATCATGTTTACTCTTTAGCTTGCCTATATCACATTATTTTCTGCTCCAATTCCTCCATATGATAACAGTGTCTTCAGCCAGTAATCAGACTACTTAAGTGTAGCTCACATTTAGTTGGCATGGCAGGGTAACTACTGCCGCCGTTTTAAGGTTTTCTTTCAAATCCCTCTATATAGCTAGTGTGTGTTGTGTTGCCATAACGAAATATTTAAGACCAGAAATTTAGGAAAAAGATCTCCGTCATAGCCTGGCAACTGGGTCGTCTGAGACTGAGCACTGCCACCTAGTGGGGGACCTTCCTGCTGTGTCATTAGGAGAAGGCAGAAGAGCAAAGAGAATGAACTCATCCACACATTCTTTTATGAGATGGAGTATCCCCTCCTAGAAAGTGGGGAGAGTCCATCTCTTCTTACAGTGCAGCCTCTCACTTCAGTCACATTGGCAACACCTGAACTGGGTTCATTTCAGTTGAAATCATGGAGTCTCAAAATAGTGCACATGACTTCCTGAGTAATGAAAACCAATAATCCTGTTTCCCCTTCTTACCCTATGTTTAATCTCCTCCCAAGCTCTAAGTCATACCCTCTCCTTATTTTTACAGTTATTTCTTTTTAGTCTTACACATTCTTAATATTTTTTGTGTTAACACCACAAATTTTGTATCTTAACCCTGGCTGTATAGTCAGAAGCTGGTTCCCTAGCCCTCTTAGTAAATCAAAAAACAAGTTACTTTGTGTATAACGTCTTGATAAAAGCCTATTTTATTTTATGATAGATTAATATTTTTAACTTTGTGTCAACTCTTTTGAAACCTGCTAGAGGTTTATTCATCTCCTTTTCAAATACCGAAGCTAATGATTGATAAGTGTCACTAGGATGCACGTATCTGAAAACTGCGTATTTAAAGGACACAAATGAGTCCAGTAGAGAGACAATGGAAACACATGTTTATATCTGAACGGAAGGCTCACATTCAGATTAGTTACAAGAAATATCCTACAGCCATATTGTATGTTTTTCTTTTATTAAGACAAGAAGTTATTATAAAAAATCAAACTAAAACAATTAAATAATAAAGGATATTCAATGATACTCTTATGGGAATTTATGTAATTCCAGTGAAACTGATCCTCTGTGGTATTTCACTATTTGACTTGTTTAGTGGTAACGAGTTTCCTTGTTAGGTAGCTGCACTGACTCCTGCACAGTTCTTACTTAGGCCCAGCTATAACTTGCTGTTTGCTCTTAGGTAACAGATTAAATTTGCCCCATGTGTTAGAAGTAAAGTTGAAACAAGTTTTTCCAAGAAACTTAAAACCCTTTCCTTCTAGAAGCTTTAATCAAACAGCTCAGTTCTTCAATTTATAGAGTCAATACTTAGAATACTTAGATAAATAGTGTACATAAATTAGCGTGGTAGTCAACTGGAGGTTTATTGCTTGACAGTACTTACAGTACCGATTAGTATACATCTGTGACATTTAGAAGAGTAGCATTTGTTAGTGGACCAAATGGTGCCCTAAGCTGAATCCCATAACACAATAATGGCAGTGGACTGTTAGTAAAGCCTAGCACAAGTGATGGACACTGTGGCTCAGCCTGTGGCCCACAGGGTAAAGTAGAGGTCAGAATGATCCAGACTTGTACTTTGTGACTTTGATAATTTAATTGTAATCTTATTATAATATTGCATTCCTTTTGTATCTTTAAAGAAGACTAAAAATTATTCTAACACCAAATAACTAGCTGTACCATGTGCTGTAAGTCATCTAGTTATCGGGTTACCTTTTCCGAGGAACCACATCTTTGTGAGCGAAGCAAGAATGTTGAAAGTGAAGAATCCTCATGCTTACCTTTGCACAATAAGGGTTTGGCATGTCTTGGAATGTAAGGAGAGTCTAACAACAGTAAAAACTGGGCATGGCAGCATACACCAGGGAGGCGGGGGGGGGGCAAGAGGGGCAGGGGTTCAAGGCCAGCTTCAGGGGAGTAGTGAGTTCAAGGTCAATCAGGACTCTGTGAGACTCTATTAATAAACACTAGAACATAGAAAGAAATACGCACAGAGACCGAGAGACACACACAGACACAGAAAGCAACAACAAAACAATAACAATAAAAGACTCATTTAATTCAGCCAGAAGTCTCTGTAGCCTGGTCTGGAAGTTCGTGTGTTTTCACTGTGTTTTCAGAATTGTCAACCCTTTCGTTTGCAGCGTTGAGGGCTCTGCCCCATTCTTTCTGTTCTCCTTGGGTCAGATTGCAATAAATATTTTCTCCTTTATTTGTTTTGTTTATTGTCTTTCTCCTCTTGCGAAGAATAAGCCTTAAAGCAAGGGTTTTATTTCTGTTATATTCACTGCTATGTTGACCCTCAAAAGTCCTTGATGAGAAAACCAAAAAAGTGAATATTTTTCTGGACTTATAAAATAACAGCATAAACGTTCATAAAGTATTCATAGGGTGAAGACCTTTCAAGGAAAAAGTAACAAATACTTGTAAACAGTGTAGTCTGGAGAAAGCAATCTACATTCTTTCTTGTTCATTGGTGCAAATAAACCTGTTTTATTTTTCTAGTGTATGAAGTTACCAGTGTCAGTTTTGGGCAGCTAAGAATAGATGAAAATAGATTTGAATTATTTCAAAGACAGAGATCAAATCTCAATTCCTAGACCTGGCTGTAACCGTGCGTTTAAGGCTAACAGGGTTGTTGGTAGTAAATTTGCCCCCCTCAACAGTGTATTAAAATTTATCCAAGTTTAGTTAAATGGAAAGGTAGCTTGCTTTCATTTAAAGACCGTGTGCAACTTGTGCAGAATGAAAGGAATAGTCACTACAGGCCGTGGCACGCTTTCCTCAGAGCATGCTCAGTTCCCTCTTTTGTATTCATATGTGTTGGCTGAGATTACATTTGGGTTCATAAGTAAGGAGTACTTCACGCAATCACATTTTAGCCTACATGTCTTTGGGAACTGTGAAAATCATTGCTCTCAACCATTTCAAGTATTGTGGAATAAACCTGTGTTTTTGTTTGTTTGTCTGTTTGTTTTTTAAAAAAGCCAAGAACTGTGCAGTAGAACATGCTAAGATACTATATCTTCTGTGGGCTACAAATGCACAGATGGATTCAGTAGTACACAGTAGGCAGTGCAGCATGCACTTGACTCTGGAACCTGCTTGCAGTATTTTTCACAACAAAGCTGTTAAAAATCAAACTGTTATGTCTTCAGCCTCTCTGCTGCCCTTGTAGTAAAGTCATTCAGAATCTTCTCTTCCTACTGTTTTGAAATACATCATCCATTCTTGCTAACCACAGTAACAGTACATCAGTGTAACACCAGAACTTACTCCCTGTATCCAACTGGGACTCTGCACTTGTCGAGCAGCCTGGCTCCGTATCTTCTTTATCCTCTGCTAACCACCTTCTCCACTTTATGAAACCAGCTCTTTAAATTCCACATTTGCATCAGATATGTGCTGTTTGTCTCTCTACCCTGCTTTATTTGAACTTAACATAATGTCCTTCGGGTTCATTAATGCTGTCACATTTTTTATGGCTAAATAAAATTCCATTGTGTATATGGACCACATTTTCCTTAACCATCCATTTATCAGTGAACATTTAGGTTGATTCTGTATTTTTCTGTTATAAATAGAATTTCAGACAACATAGGATTGCAGATGTCTCTGCAACACATTAATCTCTTTTCTTGTGGATAGACCCAGCAGTAAGATCGTCAGCTGCTGTGGCAGATCTGTTTCTGAGTTTTCTGAGGACCTTGCATGTGTTTCCCCATAAAGGTGGTACCAGTTTATATCCCTATCGGGACCCTTCTTGAGTAGTTTTAGGACTTTGAATGTGTTTAATCAAGTTGAAAAATAAAATCCATAGTTGCAGAGCAATTTTATATATAACTGATATTTATAAAAATAAATCTATAATCCTGATTTGACTACAAAGAACCTAAACTAAAGGTTTAATTTTTCATGTTCCTAATAAAATGCTAGGGTTTCGTTAAAACTTTACAAATGGAATAAACATTGAATTTTTCAACCTGATGTTTTTCATAACTTGTGTGAGACCAGTGATTTCAAATCTAGTTTATTTTTCTTCTTCAGTCTTCTATTTGCATTTTCATCTTCACCACCTTATAGTTTATATTTTGGGTAATGATTGTAACATTTTAAAAGGGAATAATATATGGCTATCTCTAGGCATAAAGTTAATTATACTTGTTTGTGACATAACTAAGCATAATCCAAATAAAAATCTTTCTCTCAATCCGTGTGATCATCGTACACAGACTTTTGTCTATTTGTACATTCATTGCTCATTGCTAATGTTTACCATTTCAAACGTGTGTACCTTAAAATTAAGCATTTATTTAAATTCTTATCATCTGTCACATTACTGTCAGCATTTAATATATATTCAAATGTGTCATCCAAGAAAGGTCTTTGCCTTCATGAAATTTCTAGAGGCCCACTGAAGCCAGTGACATTGTTCGTCACTCTGTTAATCGCTTGTGGAGTGGGAAGTCAGTAGCTTTTGCTCCCAGGAGTGCAAAAGCAGCCACCCTGTGATCGTCTCAGCAGCCTGTGGTCCTGTGCCTTCTCTGTAATGATGTAGCTCTGTCTCTCCTTTATTCTTTGCAGAGTGCTGCAGCAGCTCCCAGCCCCGTGCTAGGAAACATGCCCCCAGGAGATGGCATGCCAGTAGGTCCTGTGCCACCAGGGTTCTTTCAGGTACTTGGAGACTTGACTAGGAATGTTAAGGCATAGGGACTCCTGCTTGTTGTTGTTTATGATAATGAAGTAGGATGAGGCTCTTTTAGTTCTTCTAGTTTGATTCTTAAGGTAAATACTATACTGTACAGCCAACTCTTGATTGCTCAGACTGGTTATCTATTACATTTTCCTCCTTTGTTGTATTATTTGTTATGACTAATATCAATGAAATGGTTTGATAATTAAGAAGGAAAAGAAATCAAAGTACAAAGTAGAATAATAAGATCACGGTGGTAAATACTTTAGTGGAAGACACTAAAGATGTGAAGAGGTCCACTTTTAAGTGTCCATATTTCTATAGACTAAGAATAATCAAGATTTGGCTGTATTCTCAAAAGTAGCCAAGTCATAATCTATTCGTGTAATTAAAATTATAGGCTGTATCAAAATATTTGAAATCACCTTTGTGATTTTTCAGCTGGAACTTTTTTATTAATATAATTATATAAAATTTGAAGATCATATTTTTCAACCATGTATTTAGCATTTTAAATTTTCAGTACCTGCTTCTTTTAGCAATGACAGTAATCATTTTAGAACAATAATGCATCACTTTTAAATTTCGTAGATCTTCATCTTAAATCGGATAGAATTCTAACCCAAACTAGTATACCAGCATAAATTCTAACGAATGTTTTGTATATGGTTAATTTTATAACACTCTGAGAAAATTCAGAGTTTAGGAGTTAGATGTGGGAGGCAGTATAGAAATTAATATCCAACATACTATCTTGTAATATAGTAGGTACCTATAAGCCAAATTGATATTTTGATTTATTTTTAATTTCAAAATTCTTGATAATCGTTAAGGTACTTATAAAAGTAAAATTAGAGATATTAAATTATAAGTAATGTTGCAAAATAGATAAATTGAAATCAATGATCTCAATTAGAGTCTAGTACAGACCCTGCACTTTTAGGCCATTTTTATTTGTCTAGCTGCTCTTTATTATTACTTGAGTCATATGTAATATTTAAAAGTCATATTAAAGCCACATTTTATCTTGAGACCCCTTTTTATACTCTAGGAACTGAGTATGACTCTTGATTGTTAAATAATCACCACTTAAGAGAATGATAATAAAAACGAACGCTTAATGATTGTTTTCTAAGTGCTGTGCTTTAGTGTAGTCTACACGCTTTCATAGATTCCAGTTCCTTCAGCACCCAAAGTGTGAAGTAAGGATTCTTAGGATTTTCACTGTGCAGATGGAAATACCAAAACATTGATATAGAAATGATTTTCACAGAAAGTGACAGGGCTAGAACTTTAATCAAAACAGCCTGAATTTCCACCATTGAAATTACCTTTGAAAGTTGATTGTTACCCTTGACATATTTCCAACTCATTTTGTTTTTGCTTTACACTCTTAGCTCTCATGTGAAAGGTGGGCTAGGGTTAGTGAGTAAGTTGGAGAGTTTTATCTATTAGGTGCTGTTAAAAAAAAAAAACAAACAAACAAACAAAAAAAAAAAAACAAAGAAAGGTTGGGTGGGGAGGAAGCCAAGTCTTACACTATAGCATTACGCCAAGATGGGTAAACCCATACATTTTCATTTTCACATTTGGCAGAGTTAGCCCCTCCCTTGCCTGTTTCCTTGTTAAGAGTAGTCAAAATAGCTTTAACTTCCTTTTAATTACTCTGATACATTTCATGATTAGGTACCACTAGATTCCAGAGAGTGTGATATCTAAAATACAGCGCATACAGTGTACAACTTCCTGAAGCTCCTTATGTTAACAAAAGCCAGCTTTAAAAATGACAAAGCAAAGTGAAAAGTTCTGTGATGGCCAAGGAAGAGTGGTTAGGTCCACCGGAGGAGAGGTGAGAGGGGGTTAGGAAAACTGCCAGCGAATAAGAGGAGTAAGCAGAGGAATGGTATCTCAGACAATGGGCCATTAGCCAGCATGCGCCAGCAGCAAAATAAGCAGCTGAGGTGCCAGGGAACACAGAGAAAGCACAGCATTGGAGACGAGGGGTCCTGGACACCAAGTGGAAAGATGTGTTCTCTGCTGAGGAGAGCCTGAAAGGGTGTAAATAAGAGCCGAGGCTATTTGGCACACTTCTTGGAGCCATTGGCTCATTGAGAAAGGCTATGCTTAGTCTTGGGAAAGGTATAGTTAGTTGGAAACTATTGCCAAAATAGAAACAGTAATCCAAATAATATCTTAAAATGAATGAAGAGTTAGGTGAAGGAGCAGACAGAAAGAAGAACAAGTGAGGAAAGAGGATTAACTGCAGAAACCCAGAGGGAAAGGAATAGAAACCAAGTATTTCAAGACAATTGACATGGTCCTGTAGGGCCTTGAAGGTAGTGCAGAGTTTGAACCTGATCTTAAAGACCGCAATGAGCTGTCATGAGGAACGTCTTCGCATCTTGAGAGAGAAAGATGGTTTCCGCTAGTATTCTCTAGGACTGAGTTGAGAAGAATACGTCTAGAAGTAGAAACTGTTGAAGAAATAGAACTCAAAGAGTCTTTCTGACAAGATCTGGGACAGTAGGATTAGAAGGAAAGAAACAGTTGGTAATTATGTTTGAAAAGCCTTAGTTGATTGCCATAATTAAGCAGAAGAGAGAAAAAGTTATAAGAATCAAGGAAGATACTGTAGTTCCTATTTTGGAACTCTGAATAATTGTAATGATTTTATCAATGTAAAGAAAAATAGGGGATGGAAAATTCAGATCCATTGCATTACTTCTGCTTACCCAGGAAGGCTGTTTTAACTTACCTCAAGGGCTTTCCTTTTCCACCTATTCAACATTTATATACACCCAGTATTTAAAGTGTTCCTAAACTGTTGAAAAACTAAATCAAATTCTAAAAAGCTAATGTCTTAGTAATATAGTGCTGAGTTGGGCTGAAGTGTTTCCTAGTCAGTCAGTCTTGGTTTTCTGCAGTGTTTGGACTGTACTTCTGTGCGAGCCTGGGCATAACACATGTTGTTTATGAATAGTAGCTACCTTTAACATACAGAAACATAGTAATAATCAGAAGCCCCAAATGATTATACTTGACAGAAAAACACCAGGTTCTACTCCTGAATTCATAGGCATTTTCTTCTGAGAATGGTTCACATTTAAAAAATTCACAGATGAAAACACCCAAGCTCAGCACAGCCATTACACGAGTTCATTCTAGGAAAGGGGCATTGCAAGCAACTATACCGAAGGGCTGACTGTGGTTCTCCCTATGACTGGCTCCAGAGTCATGACTAGCAAGAGATCAGGGCTCTCAAAGACCAAGCTTTGCAGATACCAGGGAATTCCTAGCACCCTGAGGAGCACTAAGCAGCTCTCTGCCCTCAGCTTGCTAGTAGCAGCCAGATTCCAGAAGCTATTCTCTTCTCGTGTATTTTACAGCTGGGTAGAGCTGTACAGGGAGGAAATGCAAAGCTTATTTGGGCATAGCTGGAATGGAAGTCACCCATAAAGAGATTAAAGTATTAGTATCAAGTGAATAAATTAATAATTTATAATTAGCCTATGAGGCTCAGGCATAAGTAGTTTTGAGCTGTACTCATACTATAATCATACTGTAACAATTACGTTGAACATAGTTTCCCTAAGTAGACACAAATGTATTTCTTTTATTCCCATTTATACTAAAGAACAACCTCCCCCTCCCCCAGACTACTTAAATTCTTTAGCAGGTGACCTTATAAATTCTAAACTTACGAATTCAAAACAATTACAACTAACTTTAATCTTAAAATCAATAACAGTGATTAATATCCCAGTAATTTAATATGCCCATTATGGAAAATAGCCTTTCAATTATCGCCTTTCTTTGAGACTTTCTTTGTTCCCATGTTTTTAGTTTCTTTCTTGTCATTTTGATAAGGTACCTGGCAGAAGAAGCTTAATGTGGGGGAAGCTTGTCTTGACTCACAGTTTGAGAGGGACCAGTCTAGCAGTTCAGGAAGCAAGACTGTGGTGGTAGGAGTTTGCTATGTGTTTGTTCATGTCTCAGTGGACCAGGAATTAGAAAGTGACTGGATGTGGCCAAGGCTTTATGTAACCCTGATTTTTAAGACTGACCTTCTAAAGGTTCCTTAACCTCCCCAACAGCACCCCCTGCGGCTACAAGATGATAAAACAGGAGCGCCTACCAGAGCACTTCTAATACAAGTCATAGCACCATTTAGATTTTGTTTTTGTGTAAATGGGAACTTCTATTACTTTAGTAAGTGACCAATTGAGTGAAATTAGAGGGTTTAGTTGGACTTGTAAAAGGAATTATCAATTAAGTAAAGGCATTTGCCTGGAGCCTGTCAGCGGAGTAATTAACGTAAGAAACCTCAGTGACACCCATTGTAGAACTGCTGGATGACTTCAGAGCCACCAAGCTGTCTGACTGATTGGGACCAGAGGAAGGGCAATGGGACTCTCCATAGCCATCTGGAGTTTGCTTTTAGTAGAAAAAAAATACAATAATGCATCAGTAATCTCATGTGACTTAACTGAACAGCTTCAGCATATACTAGGGAGCTCTAACTATAAATGATGTCAATGTGTTTTACCTCTGTGCTTTTGTATAGGTGTATTCATTTATTCAATAGCCTTATTGAAATAGGCTGCGGCGGTATTCCTTAGACAATTTTAGACATTCTAATTTATGTACAGTGGTCAATATGATCGAGTAAATAGTCTTTATAAAGTAAAGGAAAAGTGAACATTCTTTATGTTTTAAAAAACTAGATTACTAATTCTGTCTGTTACCTTGTAAGATTCAGTGTTGTGGGTTGTAATAAAGGTTCTCCCATGACTTATGGTCATCTATAGAATATTTAAGTGAGGCCATTTCTCATTTCTGGGATGTGGGAGAGCATCCTAGTGTTTCCTGTTCCTGCTCTGATGGTAACTGGACCACATGTGTCACTCCAGTAACTGCACACATCCTTTATTGCAAAGCACAATGTAATTCTTTACTAGGTATACATACTAGGATACATCCT